TTAGCAGAGTATCTTATAAAAATAGTATCAATATGTTAAATAAATAAAAAATTTAACGGATTAAGATCTAATCGAGACCATTTAAACATTAGCATGGGAGAGGTGAAATAGCCGGCTTTTTAGCCGGATTAAAATCTATAATTTTTAGTTGCAACACCGCCATCCAATCCATAGATGACAAAATGCCGGCCGACCGGGATTTTGTACCATAAAGATTGCACAATGATGACAAATCGTATATTAAATTCGAGAAATTGGAAAAAGGTTTTAATTGAGGCAAAATTTATGGAGTATCAATACTTTTTGTACATGAAAATTCATCAAGTTTTTTTTACTAATAAAATTTTTATCAGTATATTGACTTAATCTTTTTTAATCTAAAATTAAAATTCAATATAACAATAGAAATATTTTTCTACTGTCATCAAATATTAGTAGTAATCGGACTCACATGATTTTTCAACTTTCCAACTTCGTCAATTAGAAGATTATCTTTATCATATATATACACTACCTCTCGTGCTTATTATAAAAACTATTTAAATAATTTGAGTAAATTGAGAAAAATAGTCAAATTAGTTATTTATTATAAATGTAAATTAATTTTTTTTAAATATCATTTTTAATCATCACTGCTCTTTGATGGAAACTCCTTTGATATGTGTAATCGATAGGGTTATAAAGAGAGTAAATTTGAAACAAAATGAATCAAGATTTTTTATATATATGATCAAATTAATTCTTCAACTATAAGAATTTTCAAAGGATAACTTGTTTTTGTGTAATTCCTCATTGCTAACGTGATTGTATACATAAACTATAATTAATGCAATAAAACTGTAAACTTACATAGAATTGAACAGTTTTTATTGACCACAAACAACATACACAAGATACCAATGACAGAGAAAATAAAAACAGAATAATGAACTCCTCCTTATTGCATGGCTATGACATGGAGTGTTGAGATGAAGAGTGAAGAACAGATAAGAATGTTCTATCCGATCTTGGGGATCTTAGTAACAATGCCATCACCATTCACCCAAACCCAAACCCTATCGCATCGGAAGTCAGTGATGACTCTGCTTCCTACTTCCACAATTATGGCATTCACCAATGGATTCTCTCTCTCTATTGTTGCTTCTGCTATTTCTCCTTTCTGTCCTACCAACTCTGCCCATGAACTTTTACCTTCACTCACATTAACACACAAAGTAAGATATATATACCAGGAAAAAAGAATAAGAAATATTCAAACATGACCTAACATACGCACTACTTCTAGTCCTAATTGTAAGAATTCGTTTGTAAACTATAAATGAAGTCTTATTATTAAGATCAGAGATAGTGTAACATTATTCTTTGTTACCTTGGCATTTGCTAGACATGTCTTCGACTTAGGGATTTTCCTGCACTATCGATCTCTCTAAAGTTGATGTCTTTCTGTTTGAGATATAATTGCGATGTGTTGCTTTGTACCGAGGGGGCTATTTATAGTAAGGTTTAGGTTGCGTGTTTTGATCAAGCAATGGCCATTTTGACTTCTCTCTCGTCGCCATATGGCAAGCATAATGCTGCGCTTCTATGCGAACATTCATTCAATTGAATTAGTCAATGTTCATGTTTGGCATGCTATTCTGCAATCCTCTTGTTTTCAACTATTTGCATATCCAGCGAAGGGCTAGTTTCTCAGGACGGAACGAACTAAAATTTAAATTCTTATTGGGAGAAATTTTATACTTTACCTCAAGCCTCATTTTATTTATTTATTTATCTTAAATTAAAGAAGATGACAGATAAAAGGAATATCCCAACATGCTAATTAATTATAGGATGGCAATAACTTGTTTTCTCGTTAAATAGACTTTTAAAAGCAGTGAAGTATCAATTAACGTATGATGAATCCTTATAAATCAGTCAAACTATCTTTAAAGTATAATGAAGGGCTTTCAAACGCTTTTTGCTCTTGCTTTAATTTATGCTTATTTTCAAGTTATGAAATCTGATTTTAGATTATCCAGATAATTATAAAAGTCAAATATCTCCAGCTGTAGATGCCTAATAGGATTGGGAAGGGCGAAAACTTTGACTTTCTCTCCCCTCCCCCATCAAAATTTTTAAATGAATAGTTTCATCGGTTCATTCAATGACGCTTATCTGGTTAATGATCATAATTTGTGATTTCATTTACATACACAAGTTTAAATCGGATCGATTCCTTGCTAATGTAAAAAATCATAACAGCAATATATAGTTAAGCTTGCAAACTTAATTTTCTTTAAACTTAAGCTCGCAAGTTTGTAAACTGTAATCCAAACAAACCATTAACTGCTATACTTGCATGCATGCAGTCCAACAAATGCGTATTATTCTCTGAAACAGTCATTAATCCTTGAAACTTACTGCAGCTGATAGATTCTAGTTTTTATCCAAATCATGCCATGCTTTGTTCGAGCTTTTTGTTGTTCTTGTTATTACTAGCTATCACCATTATGATTAAAAGTTTATCCTCAAGCCTACGATAATCAAAATAATCTCTCTTTGTTTCCGTGTGCAGTCGATACGGTGGACTTATTCCAGGTTTTAAGATTGCAATGGATGATGATTACTTGCTTCTTGGTTACATAAAGGCTTACCACTTTTTCCCCAGCTTGGGTTGATACAAAGCATGAAGTCGTTTGGCACAGCTATAATCTTTTTTGGCCGACCTGATTAACAAGCTAATCAGATTGAGAAGGACTGGAAAGTACTAAGTGCATCAATTCAGGAGCCTGATGAAAAGATTTAAACATATGACCACTGGTGCTCTGTCGCAATGAATAATGATAGAATAATCCATCATTAACGTTATTATAATAAAGTGAAGGAGGCATAATGAAAGGGTTACATATTGTAAATTAACCAACTCTGGGGACTCCGGTGACAATTTGTTGGTAGTTAACGATGACGCGTACTCGGTCGCATAAGAAATCATGAGTCACAACAGATCCTTCTTTCACAGTGGTGGCTCTCACTCTTTCATTTTCCCTCTCTATTATTACCTTGGCTGCTTCACCGTTTGTCCCTACCAATTCTGGCCACGACCTCTTCCCTATGTGCTTCCATCACCTTTTAATTCATTCCTTTCATTCCTTCCTAGCAGAACGTATAATATACATATATGTCCACAGAGAAGGGGGGGTGGGAGATCAGAAAGCGAGCGATTTAGGAAAAGAAGTAACCTGGGCAGCTTGACGCCTTCCTGCACCTTTTGCCTCTGATCTTCTGATGGTGATGAACCTATATATTTACTGCTCAACTTAGTTGCTACTTAACATCCTTTATATTTTATATAATAATCCTCAGATTATAAATAAAAAATTTATTTTGCAGTGTAATCTACATTAAAAAATGAGTTTTATATTTATTATTTAGGACCGCATCGGATGAGTATATAATAGCAGAGATTCGTACAGACCCAAGTCATGAATGAACAACGATTATATGCGCATTGGCCTGTCATTTTGTCGTTTTGATTTCATACAATAAAATTCCCCTTTAAAACTAATGAAATTCATATGGCTCACAGCGTGATTTCATGAATGAGCAATTATTGAGCATACGCTTCGTTTGTTTCTCCCTTTGTCTCTGCTTTTGTTTTTTTCCTTTTTATTTTACTTAAAGGGATGGCACGAGGTTATAAATGCGTTGGGGGAAAAAAGCACAAGGTTATAAATGAGATTGAATTTGCCACCTGTCACTTAAAAACCAGTTTTCGTACCACTAGACTTCAAACTAAAGCACTTCTACTTGTTTTAGTTTTCTTTCCATCTTCGTTTTTTCCTTATCTCCTGGCCTAAATTTACTCTAGGAGAGCTTCGGATATTTCGATGGAAAATAACAAAAAAGATACCATTAAAATATCACAATCCCAAATTGGAATTAATTTCAATAATCTCAAATTAGTTTATTGGACTCGTGCACCTAAAAATTAGTAATAATACATTGGCTCAAAATATACAGAATCTGTAATGTTCCAATTTCACATTGTACCTCTTTTTTTTTTTAATATAATCTTTAGTTCTTCAAATTTACTCTCATTTTGGTTCTGGTCCCTCAAATTTTAAACCATAGGTTTTGGTCCCTGAAGGGGCAAAATAACTCAAGTTTTTAGTGGATTATAGGGACTAATATTATAAATGAAAAGGAATTTGAAGGACTAAAATCAAAATTTTTAATTGCGATTTTTCCAATTTAAAAAGTAGTACTGGAGAAGGTGAAAATGTGAAATAGCTGGCTTTATTGTCAGAAAACTAACAGCCAACAATGACTCCATCCAGTCCAGAGATGATAAAAGGCCGGCCAGATTAGATGACAAACGGGGAAAAAAAACATCAAACGGACGTACGAATTGCCAGAATATTATCTTTATTAATTATTATATATTTCATTTTCAAAAAATAACTCATTTTGGGGTGATTTTATCATTGTGTACCCTCTATTCTAAATACTCATACGGTCCTCAATATAAGATTTATTTAATTAATTTGATTAGATTAAAAAAGTTAAGTAAGTTAGTTAATTATAAGAAATATGACATGTTTTTCTTAAAATACTATATTCATCTTTCTTAATATCCTCCATTCCTTACTTATTTGATTATGATTGAGGGAGTTTCCATATAGGTAAATTAGGAAAAATTGATAAATATGAAAAATAGGTCTTATATTTAGGATCAAAATTAACTTAACAATTAGGTCCTATATTAATGATTGGAGGAGTATAAAATATAATTTGTAATGCAAACTATATTATAAACTAGATTTTATATTCAAAGCAAGAGGTAGTATAAACAAATATGTACTATGACTTTTGAACAAAAAGAAACACGTACTAAAACTGTAAACTTGTTGGAGAGTTGAATTTTTTACATAACACGCTTGTAATTATTGACCACGAACAACATGCACGCAAGTTACACAACGACGAGATGAAATTTAATTGGATAGAAAATAAAAACTGAATAATGAACTCCTTATTCCATTACCGTGACATGGAGTAGAGCTAATGAAGAGTGAAGAATAGATAACGATAATAACAATGAAGAGATTATTAGTAGAGAAGGTGGAGGTAGCCTTGTTCTATCCGATCTTGGGAATCTGAGTAACAATGCCATCACAATTCACCCAAACCCAAACCCTATCGCATCGGAAGTCAGTGATGACGCCGGATCCTTCGTCCACAATTATGGCGTCCACCAATGGATTCTCTCTTTCTATTGTTGCTTCTGCTATTTCTCCTTTCTGTCCTACTAGCTCTGGCCACGAACTCTTACCTTCACTCACATTAACACACAAAGTAAGATATATATATATATATATATATATGTATATAAAGAACAAAACAAAAAACCAAACAAGACCTAACATATATAACGTTCGTCTCTGTTACGTATCTTGGCATTCGTCAGACATGTCTTCGGCTTGGGGATTTTCCCGCACTATCAACCTGTCTAAAGTCTATATCTTTTGTTTGGGATAATTGTGATGTACTGCTTTGTACGTAGATGGGGCTATTTATAGTAAGGTTGAGGTTGCGTGTTGAAGACGTAATTAATTGCCATTTCTGACTTTCTCTCTCGCCATATCACAAGCTTTGCTGTACTCTTATGTGCACATTTATTCAATTGAATTAGTCAATGTTCACGTTTGGCACACTATTCACCAATCCTCTTGTTTTCAACCTTCCCCGTATCGTTTCTCATTCATGCTTACGTATATAAACACATTATTGGAAAGCTTATCCTTTAGCTCTATCCCCATTTTCTATGTATTTATTTATTTTAAAGAAGAAGATAGACAAATAGAATATTCCCACGTGCTCATTATATAATTACAGTTCGACTTGTTTTTTCGTGAATAGACTTTGAAAAACACTAAAACTATCAATTAACAAGATGAATCCTCATAATCCAGTCAAACTATATCAATTATATATGCCAAAAAGCCATGTACAAGAAGTTACAAGTCCTTCATCAATCTATAAATTATAATAAAAGGGCGTTCGAATATGCTCTTTGCTTCACGCGATTGCTTTAATTATGTGCTTATTGTCCCATCTCATAAAAGCCAAACTAGATTTATTATAGGGAAAATTTCACTGTAGGACCGCAGAAGACAATTAATTTCAAAGAGCCCCCAAAACTTTCTGAAACTTCACTGCAGGACCAAGGGGGCAAACTGATATTAATTCCACAAAGAAAATGACGCTATTGCCCCTCATAATACTTATTGCAGGGTGACATGTAAATGGACTAATTTCAGTTGTAAATAAAGGTATGTATGTTGCAAATTGACTAGTCCCACTTGCAAATGGGCTCTCTCACACTTATTCACCCACAGGCACCTTTTTCAGGTGAATGAGGTGATATGTAAATGGACTAATTCTAATTGTAAATAAATGTATGTATATTGCAAATTGACTAATTCTACTTGCAAATGGACACTTCCACACTTGTTCACTCACGGAGACCTTTTTCAGGTAAAGGAAGTGACATGTAAATGGACTAATTTCAGTTGTAAATAAATATATGTATTTTGCAAATTGTCTAGTTCCACTTGCAAATGAGCTGTCCCACACTTGTTCACCCAGACACATTCTTCAGGTGAAGAAAGTAATATGTAAATGGACTAATTTTAATTGTAAATATATCTATGCATGTTGTAAATTATCTAACCTCACTTGCAAATGGGTTCTCCCATACTTGTTCACATGAGGGGCAATAGAGTCATTTTTTTTGTGGAATTAATATCAGTTTGCCCCTTGGTCCTGCAGTGAAATTTCAGAAAGTTTTGAGGGCTCTTTGAAATTAATTGTCTTCTGCGGTTCTACAGTGAAATTTTCCCTTTATTATATTACCCAGAAACTTATAAAAGCCAAATATCTCCATCTGTAAATATACTTGATAGGATTGGGAAGGGCAAAAGGATTGACTTTCTCTCCCCTCCTCCCTCTCAAAGTTCTTTAAATGAATAGTTTCAGTTCATTCAATGACTCTTTCCTGGTTAATGATCGTAATTTGGGATGTCATTTTACATTAAAAAAAATGATAAATCGGATTCCTTGTCAATGTAAAAGACGCCTGTACTTAAGTTTGCAAACTTAATTTAAACTAGAGCTCCCAATAATGTCTTTATTTCCGTGTGTAGCCAATATGGTAGACTTATTCCAGGTTTTAAGATTGCAATCGATGATTACTACCTGGTTCTTGGTTACATAATGCTTGCCACCCTTTCCCCCGTTCGTCTTTTTCACCTTCCTTCACGGAAAAGAAAAATATATGGAGTTGTTTTGAACAGTTGGCAATAGCTGCAGTCAACAAAAATCCAAAATGATATCAGAATATTCTGGCCTGTTATTACTGATTGGCTTGATCATTCAGTGCTGTGCTCACGTAAAAGCATTCTCGAGTGACTTGAACTTTAGTTTAGTGAAGACCGCATCATTTCTAAGGGATAATGGATGGGGTGATAACAGATCATGGAGCTTTCAAGAGTTACGGACTCGTCGAAACTCAGAACAATCTGACGATGAAATCGCAAGTTCACCACAGCCCAAGGGTGTTCTGTGCTTTGTCAAATGGGAAAATGCACCTCTCTCAGAAATGTGATCTGGCATGATAAAATATTTTGAATGTCATTGGATGACACCTTTTGCTTAGGATATGAAACCAGATGTGTTAACCATTCATAGTACAATATGGTCTTAGTAAGTTTCTTCTTATAGAAGACATATAAAGCTCGATATGGTAGAGAAGAGTGACAATATACACAGGGATCCATTGACATATGGAACTAATGACGAGAAAAATGGTCAGTTCAGGTGGACATTGCAGTTCTCTTTCGGTTTGATTGAGACGGCTTGGTTGCCGAAACATCCTTTGAACTGAAAGGGGCATCCTCTTCATCGCTTTCACCATCAAAACTTTCAGTTTTGTCTGTGTCTTGCTCCTGAGGAGATTTTTCAGTAGCTTTTCCTTTAGAGATCTGATCTCGAAGCTCTCTCAGTTTCGCTTTCTTGGAATTCAAGACTTCTAGAAACTGGAGCAGACAATGACCTGGTCAGTCGACTCATTCCTAATAATGTATGGAAAAAGGAAAAGCGAGAGCAACAACCAATACTGCCTTCAGTAGGAATGCGGACCAAGCACAGCAATACTTCAAAGGATCAGACTTGAGGGCATTTTCTTGTACCTTCTTATTACCAGGTAATTGAAACATGACAAGTCCAACATTTTGATAATATCAAAACAAATGTGTTTAAATGAGAAAACATACCAAAAAAACAAAAAACACACTTGTCATATTATTAGAGAAAAAACTCATTTTATTTTAGTTTAAAAACCTAATAACAACGATACAATTAACTACATTCAAGTTTCTCCCACCTCAAATCAACCAGCAGAAAGGTAAATGAAACAGCTCTAAATTGAAGTGAGAGTTCAGAAGTGACCTTAGCATAGATTTCAGATTCAAATTCCACTTTTTCGTTGGCGAATCTTTCACTCTGGGATAAACACTTCTCAGCTTCCACTTTCATCCTCTCAAAAGATTCAGTTTTTCTGACAACTTCTTCCTGTGGTAAATGTAGGCATGCACAATTATGATGTTCAAAATAGGGGAAAAGAGAGGCCTTGTCTGAGCCAATGCTATTTATTTTATAAAATGGTGAATCATACAATCATCCAACAAGACACTGAACAAGTGATCACTTTCCCTAAATCATGCTCTTAAAGGACTTAAATTTATGGTGGCAAAAAATGGTGGAAGAAAACAAACCAATCTATTTCCCATTATCATAAAATATGTTCAATTTTTTTGAACCATCAACCTGGAATATTTGTTGGAATGAAATATGTTTATCCCTTATTTCTGTAATAAAAAATAGCAGCCACATGATAGTTTTCCAACTTATTGGCTTGTTACTCAACTCAACTGCCCCTAAGTTATACTACCTCCAATTCTAAATATAAGAGCTAGTTAGCAGTCCTAAATATAAAATCCAAATCTCTTTTGTCTCCTAAATTTATAATATGTTCTCAAAAATATCCCTCTTAATTGTAAGGTATTTCCGCCCAAATATAGTTTCAATATACATGATTGAATGAGAGTAATTTAAGGAAGTCAATATACATTTGTTACAAATAACTAACTTAATTAATTTCTTAATCTCCTTAAATTAGTTATCTAGCTCTTATATTAAAGACCGGAGATAGTATATACTTTCTAGTCCAAACAAATAATGTCACATACATGGGAAACACTCCTTGATAACGTGGGACACCATGGGAAATGTATTTGAACTTTAACGTCGAATTTCAGGTTGGAAAAATGAATACAAGAGGCATGGACATGTATTCAGGTGCGTTTATCAGGGATAATTTTCTTATAAGAAGCTCAAACACATGGCAGGGCATCCAATAAGTGGTAAATGCTTATAACCCAAAAAAATCCAGAGGACTTCATACAAGATGAAGACAAAAGCCTCGACCAAACTATCAAGCTAAACCCATTCTCAAGAATCAGGAATCGTCAAGCCATGCCAAGCCTAAGTTCGTAAGGCAAAGCACAGCTGAGTTCATTTCACATGAATTTTGGAAACCAACAAGATTTGGTTCAGGATTGCCCCTTGTTATGTTTGGGGCAACGAGACTAGACATGTCACAAACAGGAAGAAGTGGGCTTAAAAAGATTACATTAAAAGGGAAAAAAAATACAAGGAGCATTCTTGCATGAATGCTAATCAAGAATATGATCTATCTGCTTTCTCTGACCTCATGTAAGAGGCATCAAGTTCTTTTCACTCAATCAACCATGGTTGGTGTTTTCTCCCTTATTCAACCAAGGCACTAAGCAACAAAACATAAAGTCATTTTTCTATAACATTTTCCTTCATTTTGACCTCATACCAATCGATGATACTGAAATATCTTATTTTTCCTAGCTTTCCTACTCCCCCATACCACCTTTTAAGTATCTCACCATGATAGTCTTCAAATTTGTCTTCAATCATTTGAACTCATGCTCTTTTCAATTTTTAGGTTGCATTGGATATCCACAACCTGGGAAGTGAAAAATGGGATGACTAGGGAATGAATTCAAGGACATCAAGCTTGCCTTGATCTTAGAGAATGAAGCTAGTACCACGAAAGCTATTCACTTATTGGCTAAATTCATGTTCTTTTAACTTTCAGAAGTGATTGGATAAGTCAATCTCTTCCACAGACAATAATAATCAATTTGATCATTTAAAACTTTACGCAAGCTGTCTGTCACTTATCGCAAGTTTAGTGATCCCATTTCTTCGGTTGGGTTCAATTAGCATAAACTTTCTAATAGTTGCTCACAATTCTAACATAAATATACTCTGGAAAGCGCGGCAATCAAAATAAAAGAAATACTGCTATCTACACTTGTTGATCAACATGTTTGAAATAAGCCTGATACCAGAGAGGACAGTTTAAATCCCCATGTAACTTTTTATCCGGCAGAGCAAACCAAATATGCCTAAATATGACATCTCCAACATAACGCTCACCACAAACAAACTATTAATATGTACAGACAAGTGGATGCAATAAGGTGACTGTGACAACATTTGTTTAAAACATGCATTCATGAATCAGAGTAATGCAGAGTCTTACGCTAAGCGTTATATTTGCATCCATGAGAAAGTCCAGTATTTCCGCTGTCGTTTTCTTACTATTAGGAGACTGCTGACATTTCCATCTCCACTGCAACTTTGTTCCTTCCTTCTCGAATGTCCATGACAACTGCTTAACATTCAGAGAATACACACACGGGAAAAAGTAGTTCTTTTGGTCAAACTGGATACCGTAGAATTTTAAACCTTCGAAGACAATCAACATTAGCAGTTACTGCTGGACAAAAAGATATTAGCACTTACTCTTTTATGCCCATCACCGGCATCAGCGAATCCGTATATAGAGTCAGGTTGCTGAAACCCTAAGTATTGCTCAGCCAATCGCACATACTCCGACACTGGCTGGTCCCACTGAGTAGCCCGCTCTTTGACCTCCTCCTCCGACGCTAACAAAACACAGTAAGAGAAAAAAGAAGAATAAGAACTTCATTTTATAATTGCTCGAAGCAATTAAAGACTCTAATCGAGAAAAGATATCGCTACCATGACAAACCCAAGCATTGAAGCCATCTGTTATGGAGAGGTCAAAGCGGGTATCATACCAAGTACCCTTCACAAATATGGGTTCAGCATCTGTGGGGTCGCCGGTATTAGGAAGCTGTAGCTTTAAGCATGTGTGTCTCTTTGCCTCCATTCCTGAGTTGTCGTCTTCCTCTATGAGAATCTGGAAGTGGGAAAGTTTGTGGCTTTTCCCGCCTTCTGTTCCTCTTCGGTTCAAAACCGTGCGGTAACTACGTTCACCGTTCCTTCCCCGCTGAGTGTCGGGTAGTATACAATGAGGGCACTTAAGTATTTGCCATTTTCTTATATTTATCCCTTTTGGTCTTTTCATGTCACGAGGGCATATTCCCAGGGAACACGTGCAGAGGCATCTGATAGGCCCTGAATGGCTGATGATCAGCTCAATTATCACAAAAAATCCGGGAAAATGATGATAACTCCAGGGCTCTTGGTTCTTCTCTTGGTATGTTCTTTTTCTGCAATCTCAACTCACGGAGATGAAGACCCATCAATCAGAACAATGGAGGAATTCTCCGGTTATCCAATTCACGAACCTGATTCTTCTATTCCAAGTTCGGTTTCTTCATTATACGTTGATGCCCAGAATCTGCAGAAGCAGGTAGTGAACTAATATTCGATGAATTGACTACAATGGTTGGTGGTCTTCTACTCTTCTAACATTTAGAACTGTACTCGTTCGTAGATTGATGAGCTCTCGAGCTTCTCTGATACACCTGCCCCGTCAGTAACCAGGGTCTTGTATACTGAAAAGGATGTTTTAGCTCGCAGGTATGTAAGATTAGATTGATGTATGCTGTTTTGTGCGACGATTACGATAAGCAGGAAATTGGTACAGTTGCTTATTGTTATACATAAGATGACGGGTGTAAACTTCGTCGAACATTAATAAAATGGGTGAAACTAAGATACTATTTAAAACAGAATAAATGGAAACATGAGTGGCATTTGCGGTCTTTTCTGTCCCCTGTCGGTAGAAAAAAATTGGTTAATTTATGTATAATATTATCTTCTTTGAATGTATATGTTCCTATCTTTGGTTAGACCTTGTTCTTGTCTTCCATCTGTAGGTATGTTAAAAACTTGATGGGACTTGCTGGTCTTTCAGTTAGAGAGGATGCTGTGGGTAACATATTTGGTCGTTGGTAAGTCTCTACTTGTTCTTCACACATGGTTCATTATATTTTACAGCGAACTACCTCTCACCTAATATTTGAAGCCAGGGATATCTCTGATCTCTATATTTTTGTTAGTTATCCCTGACTTGATTATCAAGCTTATATTAACTTTAGTCTTCCGAAAACTTAGTTACGGAGTAACTGTAATTAACTAGCTATACTAAGGCCCCTATATTCTATCACTTTATGCAGGGTTGGCCAAGAACCCGAGCTTGCTGCAGTTGCAACAGGTTCTCACATTGATGCTATCCCTTATTCTGGTAAATATGATGGAGTTGTTGGGGTTTTAGGTGCCATAGAAGCCATCAATGTCCTGAAAAGGTAATTTTATCTGAATTCTGGAGATATTAATTTTCTGTGCCCATTCACTGTCCACTTTGGTCAACTAGTAATAATTTTCGACGTTGAATGAACTGTCACAGGTCTGGATTCAAACCTAGAAGGTCGTTGGAAGTCATACTATTTACTTCCGAAGAGCCTACACGCTTTGGTATCAGCTGCTTGGGAAGGTCAGCAACACCCTTAATTTCTGTCCTATAATAGGACTCATACTTTGGGGAAGTCTTTTTATCTTATTTATAAATTATAAATTGTAAATCATAAATCATAAACCCTTAATTCACTTCTGTTACAACTTATAATATTTCCACTTTTTCAGATTGACTACAACATGGATCAACATGTCATTTATTGACTTGTATTCTGGTTTGATTTGAATTGTGTCTTTTATGGACAGCCGCTTGCTGGCTGGGAGCGATAATCTTGTGAAAGCTCTTAGGACAACAACTGATAGTCAAAACATATCCTTTTTAGATGCTGCAAGATCTGCTGGATATGCAAAATATGAAGATGACTTGTCGAGTGTATTCTTAAGCAAAGGAACGTATTCTGCTTTTATAGAACTGCACATAGAACAAGGTCCTATTCTGGAAGAAGAAGGTACAATTGACTTTGAATGTTCTAGTTCTAGTCCTTGCCTCAGCTATAGCTTCAGTGACCATCTATAATTGTTTCCTTGACCCAGGCATATCTGTAGGCATAGTTACGGCAATAGCAGCCCCAGCAAGCCTGAAGGTCGAATTTGAAGGCAATGGTGGCCATGCAGGCGCTGTCCTAATGCCTAACAGGTAGTTACTGTGTTTAAATGCGATTTTTTTGGTTGTTGTTTTGGGGTTGGGGATTTGCACTTTGACTTCAACCTTTTATTTCAGTAGGACAAAATTTCTTCTTTTTAGTGATTTATTTAGGTCCTTTCATAATGTTGAGTGAAAGGGTAATAGTTTTCAGCAGCTTACTATTTGGCTAAAAGAATTATTTAAAAAGAAAAAAACTATCACCTGATCCTTTAAGTGTCATACTTAGTAATTTGAATTTTCAAGTATGTTTCTTTTATTAAATTGTTGGTTTGAATTACCAGAATGTGCACGCATCTGTTATTAACTGTTTGCTGGAAAAGGAGGCCATGTTCGTAATTTGACTAAGATGTGATGCAAGTTGAAGTATCGAATTGGTAAATAATGAATAAACAAAGCACTAATTTTTTTTCAAATATTGAAAATAAGGAACTATATTGGATAAGTTTATATATTTGAGTGGGTAAAATGTTAGTTTAGAATTATCGTCAAGGCGATTCCGTAAATTTTGATGAAAAGAGCAGTAGCATTCAATAGCATGCTGTCTCTTGAGCACATGAAGTTTGACACTTGGGTATTTTAATTTTCGAGTTTTCTTTAATATTTTACCCTCCAATATACTATTGCACAGCAAATACTGAAAATAAACTTTGATCCCTTTGAGCATTGTGCTCCAGTATTCTGATCCCTTGTGAAATTAAAGTAACATAACGAACTCTTAACGATTTAGTTATAATTTCTCTAAACATCGTATGGAGCAGAAATGATGCTGGACTGGCAGCTGCTGAGTTAGCCCTTGCTGTTGAGAAACATGTATTGGAATCTGGTTCTATTGATACTGTTGGTACAGTCGGTAAGTAGTATTTCCTTCACACGTAAGCATATTCTTTTACACTGACTCCATGCCCTTGATATGTTTTGAACAACCCCAGCTCCACGAACAATTGATCTTTGATCTATAACTTTTTATTTATAATTAACTTCTCCAATGTCTAAAGGCATCCTAGAACTGCATCCTGGAGCAATCAACAGTATCCCCAGCCGGTCCCACTTGGAAATTGGTGTGTATCTAAAGAACAACTTTGGCATACTTGGCTTAATTACAATATGTTTAATTACTTGGAGTTTTTTCCATATAATGGCACTGTACAATTTCAGTGGGATATCTATCTACATATGTTGCGGTTTTGCTTAATCTTCCGATGGATAATCCAAGCTACCAATACCTTATACCTTTTTCACAATTTTGAATTTGTTGTGGCAGACACAAGAGATATCAATGAAGAACGAAGGAACCAAGTTATTGAGAAATTTCACCAATCAGCAATTAGAATTGCCAAAACCCGAGGTGTAAGGCTTTCAGAGTTTCATATCATCAACCAGGATCCACCGGCAACTTCTGCTGAAGAAGTCATAAAGGCGATGGAAACTGCAACAAGAGAGCTCAACCTGACGAGCAAGCTGATGATTAGTAGAGCCTACCATGATTCCCTGTTTATGGCCAGGTAATTATTGAGTTGATAGACACGTTTTTGACAAAAACGAAGTTTTGTTATGTGGCAGCCAAATTTGAAATTTTATTTTGGCCAGTTAATCTTCACCCGTGGACCCAGCCTTAACAAAAATGAAAAGAAATTAATAAATTTGGGTAGGTGAGAGTAAGAGAAGAGTTTTTTTAGGAGCACTACTCTGTTAAGCTGTTTTGATCCTGCTCTATCTGGTTTGTTCACAATATTGACGCAAGCCTTATTGGCACGACCGCAGGAGCTAACTGAACTGCTCCAGCATATAACTATAGTATTATTAACTATACAAAGCAATGCTCATGTTACGTTAGATAAATGTCTGGTGCTGATTAGCTTCGTGCTACTGCAGGTTGTCTTCAATGGGCATGATCTTCATCCCATGTTACAAAGGTAAGCACTCTTAGGGTGTGTTTGGTATGAGAGAGGGGAGGGAGGGGGAAGGATTTTAATCATTTCCCCTTATTTGGCAACACACAAATTTTAGGAGAGGAGGAAAAATTTTAAAAAATTTTCCTTCCCCTCCCCTCCTCAACCTCCCCTCCGAAATTGGGAAGATTTGGAGGGAAAGAGTAATATTTTACTATGTTGTGACTATTATGCTCATATTTTGCCATGTTGTGACCATTATGCCCATATTTTAAACAAAATAAGGGCAAAATTGTTCATATTAAAATATTTTTCCCTCCCCTCCCCTCATGAACCAAATAAAGTAATATTAAAACTCTTCCTCTCCCCTCTTTTTTTATAAATCCAAACAAAGTAATATTAAAATCCTTCTACTCTTCTCCCCTCCCCTCCATTAAAATCTCTCCCCTCCCCTTCCTCTCATTAAGCCAAACAGACTCTTAAATTCTTTTCTAGTCTATAATCATGGTAATAAAAGAGGACGAATAAATAGTTTGTGCTTTTCTAATGTAATAATTGATTTAAACATAAACAACAACTTTCGAAAAGTATGTTTAATTATATGTAATTTTGTACTCTTGAAGAATGTATTGCCATGAACCCTATCTGCTTCTATCTATGAGGCACTGATCTTGCATGCATAAGGATGCAATCCATGTGCCCGCAACTTGAACGTGGAAGCACTGATTTTTTATTTTGAATGTTGATACATTCACACGAACGCAGACTTTCCAGTCCGAACTTGCTGAATGGGGAGCTTAAGCAATTTATCTTCTTCTAATATTTGAATCAAGCCAAAAAAAAAAAAAAGGATTTATCATCATTCTCATATATCTTGTTTATTTATGCAGGATACAGCCATAAACCTGAAGAGTTTGCCAGCATTCAAGATATGTCAAATGGCGTTAAGGTTTTGGCTCTCACCCTGGCCAAATTGTCCCTTCTATAAGATCTTCTGTAATGGCTGTGTATTGTCTATGGGATTTGGGATGTACTCTTCTGCGGATACAACCTAATGTTTAAAGAACCTTTAACTTGAATGTGCATGAGAGTGACCCGGAGAAAGAGAGAAAGGTCTGATCCTTCTAAAATATATTCCATCATATGGCAGAAATACGAAAACTGTATCTATAAGAAACAAGGAACACTTCTTACATGGATAAAATGGAAGTACATTTACAATGAGTAGCAGAAACGAATTGCCCCTCATTAGGTCACAAAAACGAAACAATCATACAAAAGGAACATGTGCTGATTACTGTGGTGGTAGAATCCAGTTGCTTATGCTCCAAGCAGAAGGTTACCGTATCTCTTCATGATTAGGATGGCAGAATCATTAATTGTGATTTCCTTATCAGCTACTCAGTTGTATATCTATCCAACAATGTAAATGGTGAAAGACAAGAAAATGAAGCTCCGTGGCCCTACTCTGTTATGGCCTTCTTGTTAGCGTCTTTTTTAGTCGTTGTAGCACCATTAATTTGGTCCATTTGTCCAGCTTTTACCAGCAGAATCTCAATCTGTGGAAAGGAGTAATTGAGTCAGCAGCATTTTATGTTTGAAAAGAATCTATACGTCAGTTGAGGAGATGAAGCACCTTGGCCTTGTGAAGCAGCCGGCCTCTTTGGTCTCCCTTAGAGGCAACAGTAGATATAGCGACATCTGGATCATTCACCATATGAAAAGCAAGCAATCCCATTAAATCATGAACATTTTTTTCATTGACAAGTTTAGGGTGGGGAAGGAATAGAGATCTTACTTTTCTCAATAGCCAAACCATTGCGTTTCAAGTTCTCAGAGATGATTATAAGCGTCGTAATAGCTGAATTCAGTAGTCAAGAGAATGAAGCTAGTAAATGATAGATAATGGATATATGCATCGCATGGGAAGTTGAAACATCATCCAACGGCTATTGGCATTAATTCATGAACAATCTATCACAAACACGATTTATAATTTTAATATTCTCGTCCAGCTTTATATATGCGACTGTAGGTGGAGATTGAAAAGGAAAATATTTATCGGGGCAACATGCTTCAAGACATTATATTATACCTGTGCCCAGTGCAGAGAGCTCAACGATGTTATACTGATTCAGGAATTTCTGCATTCAAAAGAAATGCCACATCAAAACCTTAACAAGCATTGAATAATATCCAATTCTTTATGCTCTTAACCCATTCTAAAGTCCAGACTCTACTAATGCAAACGAGAGAAAAATGAGAAGGCCTTCGAATACATTGTTAAACGCCAAGAAACAGAGATGAGAATGAACTGCTATACCAAAAAGAAAACTGAATAGAAAATTAGATCTTGCATCTTTCTTTGGTTCCTCGCGCCGGGAAAAGAAGATGCATAAAATGAAGCGAAGAATTGAAAAATACCTTGGCAAGATTGATGTAAAAGATGAGGGGTTTCTTGCTACTGGAAACATGAATTTGGTGATCCTTCCTGAGATAAAACTGGGGCTCAGCTGTAACGGTGGCAGTGGCAGTCTCACTGCCTTCATTAACAGCGTTGTGCTTCTCGTGCACGCCATTCTTGAATTGTTCTCCAGCAGCGTTCTTGCACTCAGAAACAACCACGATCGCGTCCATTGAATAATACTCTGTGATCTTCCACTTTCTTTCTTAGAAGCTCCGTGACGAAGGAAGGAGGTTACGCGCAGGTGGGGGCTATTTATAAGGGATCACGGCCTGCTAACGACGCCACTAACCACTTAAAAACTGACTGGTTCTCTTCCGACGGATCATAATTTTGGCCGCTGACACCCAACAACGCAACAGAACTGAATTTACTTGTAACTTGAAACACTCTGTTTTCAATACATTTCATGCAAATATTTATTTTCTTATAAATGTAAATTTAGAATAAAAAAAGTTATTACTTAAAAATTATAAATAATATATGTTTTGTTCCAATTACATAGGAATATTCCAAGTAGTTAGTTGAATAATTTGAGTTGATTAAAAAAGTTTGTTAAGTTAGTAATTTGTAATAAATAGGTATTATTTTTCTTAAAATATTTTTTACTAATAATATGTATTAGCTATAACTATCATTTGATGAAACATTTAACATGTGCAAGTACTATAAAGACTACTTTAAAAAATATAAATAAATATGAGATATAAAGTGGATTAAGGTCTTATGTTAAAGACCAAATTGAATATGAAACTAACTCTTATATTAAGAATAGAGGTATTATTACTCAACAATGGACAAACAATTCTTTTTTTTTGGCAAGTACAGGTATCTTTCTATTGGAGCCTTGGAGGCAATCTTGTTCGATGTACTATTGAATACTAAATGTAGATATTTCTCCTAACGAGAATTCAAATCTTGATTCACCATTGCGAGGGATTAACTCTTTCTGCTAAACTTAATTCGTGTTGTTAATGGACAAACAATCCGGTACATGAGTATTAAATTCGAGTGCTCCATAAACAATAACAATTACAATATGGCTCGGATCTAAATGACTGTTTTCTTTCTTTTACTTTTTCCCCCATTTTGATAAAATAATATTCCTCTAGTTCTTAAATATATAAGACATATTTAACTAATTTAATTAAATTAAGAAAATTAAGTAAGTTAGTTAATTATAAAAAAATATGATATATTTTTCCTAAAACACGATGATCATTTTCCTTAATATCTCCCCTTCCTCTTCTACTTGATTGTGGTTGAGAGAGTATCCGTAGGGGTAATTTAGAAAAAACAGATAAATATCAAAAATAGTTCTTATATTTAGGATCAAAATAAAAACCAAAGGAGTAACTATTTTCTTTCTTTTTAATTAGGCTTTAATTTGACTTAAAAGATGAGCTAATAAAAATGCGAAGATCGCAGTGATTTTTTCTACCAGATTTAGTTGTTATAATTGCGAGATTCCAACGAATGAAAATGGAAAAAATACCAAAAACAGAATTATGAAATTATCATTTCCTAATCTAGGCATCTAAAAATTGAAAATGACAGATAAAGAAGTGATACCTGATCTGGTATTTGGTAAATATAATTAAATGACTAAAATATTTTTGCATCAGATTTAGAAGGAGAAAAACTGTCAAAGTTGTCATTTCCTCTTCACAACTTGTTAATAAATAACTTATTATTGTCAGGATATTTCTTATCATTTGCAATTTAACACTTATTATTACCAGTTCATAATTTCTTAATAAACTTTTTGATACAAGAGCATTTTGGTTATTTAATTACATTTACAAAATACCATATCAGACACAACTTTCTCTCTTAAGATTTTAAAGTATTAGGTGCTAATTTAAAATATAATATTTTTCAACTTATTTATTTATCATATTCCCATGAAAATATGGTTCGGTGCATTGAGAATGACAACCTTTGTCGTTATTAATCAAATCTTTTGTTTCTCTTTACTAAAATATTATTTCTGATTATTAATATAAAAGTTAGTTTAATTTTAATTTGATTCTAAATATAATATCTTAATCTACTTTACTTTTCATATTTATCTATTTTTTTAAAGTAATCCTTATAATAGTTACACATATTAAAGATTTCAGGCCTGTTTGGGTGCTCTGAAACCGTGGTTTCAGAAGCACTTTTCCGCAAAACGAGGTAACCTCCTCCACATATTTACTTCGTAATTCGTAAAAGCACTTCTGAAACCATGGTTGGTTTCTATCCAACACTCCCTTCATCAAATAGTAGTTTTAGCTAAAACACATTATTAGTAAAGGTATTTTAGGAAAGACAATATCTATTTATTATAAATAACTAACTTAACTAATTTTTTTAATATATCTAAATTAGTTAACTAGATCTTATATTAAGTCCTAGAATAACAAAACATTTTGTTTCTTTTATGCACGTGGCCTTTTAAACACTAAAGAAGGAGATGTGCAGTTTTCTTGATGTGATTAAATATTCAAGATTCAATTAAAAAAAAAAAAAACTCAATCAAAACCAGTTCCGACGGAATTTTTTTAAAAAAAAATTTATCGCCTATTTGACTGCACTCTATTCATTTGTTCACAAAATTTTTTTAAGGTCATAAAAACAGAAGAAGGAAAAAGTTTTTATAAGATTTATTAAAACGAGCACGTTTGAACATTAAGGCCTTGTTTAATACTATATCCAGTCCTTAATATAAAAACCAGTTAACTAATTTGAGTAGATTAATAAAACTAGTTAAGCTAGTTATTTGTAATAATAAGTACTATTTTTTCTAAAATATCCTTACTAATAAGTGCATTGGCTAGAATTACTATTATGACAAGAACTGCCTTGAAAAAATAAATAAATATGAGAGACAAAGTAGATTAGGGTATTATATTTGAGACCAAAATAAAAAGTTAAACGTGCTCTTATATTAAAAACCGGAAGTAATAGTATATTAAAAGGAAGAGAGAAAAGGAACAAGAACATTTTTGACACAATTTTCCGTTTAAAACCATATTTTATTTTAATGATGGAGTAGAAATTTTGAAAATGAAAAGACAATAACACCCTATAACTTGTTCTTCCTGATATTTCTCCTGTGAAAACAGGCACAAATTCACGACAAATAATAGATGAGTGATTAATGGAAGGAGACAAAGGCAAGGGAGGTTTGACGAGGGTAAATTAGTCCCAAAAGAAAAAAAGAACGTTTCTCAGTCAGAAAACACTCCATTTGTGGAAAGCAAGGTGGAACTTCCTTCAACTTCAACACTGTAAAGTTTGAGTTTGTAGTACAGAGTGATCCTAACTTTTTTTTTTGGTGTGTGTTTATGAGGCATTATCGATTTATTTTTAAAAAAGGAGAAGGCCAGTTGTGCTACTTTTTAACGATGTCGTTGCTTTCGAATTGGGAATTCATTTCACGTCATTTACTGCTTTATATCAGAATGATTACGGCATGAGTTTAAGATTAAAGTAATAAACTGCTACTCTATAAAATTAGTGTGTGATGTTGTCATGGAAAAGTTTATGCTCTCTCTTTTTAGCTTTATTAAAACAGCAGACAAACACTTCAAACAATCAACCACCAAGTACCACTCCCATTGTTCTTTTGAATTATATGGCAATAACCAGGACTGAGCTTAACAGGTCAGATCGGCTAACTCCGCAAATTCCATCCATATGAGAGTTTTTATGCTACTATCTTCGGTTCTGAATACAAGAACTAGTTTGACTTTTAATTTGATCCTAAATACTACCTCCGGTTCTAATTATAAAAGCCAGTTGACTAATTTGAGAAGATTAAGAAAGTAAGTTGAATTAGTTATTTGTCTTAAATAGGTGTTGTTTTTCTTAAAATATCATTACTAATCAAGTGTATTGACTAAAACTATAATTATTAGAAGAACTATCTTGAAAAAAATTGAGTAAATATGAGAGATAAAATGGATTGGGGTCTTATATTTATGACCAAAATAAAAGTCAAACAAGGTCTTATATTTAGGACCAAAATAAAAGTCAAACAGGGTCTTATATTAAGGATCGGAGATAGTATAAGATTTTAATTTACTTTATCTTTCACATATATTTAATCATTTTTTACAGTAGTTCTTGTACTAGTTGCACATTTTAAAAGTTTCATCAAATAATAGTTCTAATTAATACACATGATTAGCAAAGGTATTTTAGAAAAAACAACACATATTTATAACAAATAACTAATTTAATAAACTTCTTTCATTTACTTAGATTAATCAGTTAGTTCTTATATTACTAATCATAGGTAATAATAAATACAAGATCATTGGCTAAGTAGCGGCATTAACAGTCCAAAGAAAAAAAACTAAACAAATTACAAAACAGCAAATAAGTACTACATAGCATCAAATAGCGAGGGATCTTCATGGTCATTCATTAGCTTTCATTAGCAGCTTTTGTTTCCTTATCCTCACAAGAAGCAAAACTCATGGACTCTATAAAACTCTAATGACACAATAAAGTAACCTTATAGCCCCTACTCATGTCTCTGATTAGTGATTACATATATATAGATAAATTAAATATATAAGTAGATTCGTCACGTTGCATTGCTCACACATTGAAAGATAAGATCTCTAATTGTTAGTTAAGTGAAAAATAATTATAAGACATCTTGCACCCACGTTTTACACATGATGGTATATAATCTCAAGCAATTTATTAATATCCCCATCTAACGTAAATGCATATATATAGTATAGAAGCCTTCTGCTGTGTCCACATAACAACGTTTAAATATTCCACTTTTTGTCAATTTTTTGCTTTTATAAAAACTTTCCTAGTCTTTATGTCCACTTGCTTCTTTTATTGCTGAAGGAGTATTCTTTCTGTTGAAGGTTGGAATCACACTGTAGGATTATAGTGTGATTCGTGAATCAAGGTTCCCCCACCTCTTTAATTTCCATCTCTCTGGTCCCCTTTTTTTTTCAAGTGGGAAACAAAAGACAAGTCCTTTAATTAAACACCCTTATATATATATTTATATCATGATTCACCCATTGCTTTCGATTCCTGTGTTTAACTCCTTAATACCGTCCTTTTCCCCATATATATAAATATATATATGTTCTGGTAATTTTTTAATTATTCATTCAGGTTCATTTATTGCATCTCTTGTTTTATCACACCATAATGATCATTATATTGCATGCAGTTTTCA